CGGGAACTGCACGGAGGCAAGCCAGGTCCTGCCGGCCCTGGGGTTGCTTGTGATGCTCAGCTGCATCAGTTGACACAAGCAGCCCCAGGGCCGGCAAGACCTGGCTCGGCTCTGCACAGCCCCCGCGCACCAGGCCAGGTCCTGCCACTATAGGAAGGGCCCGGCTGGGTGGCAGGACCCAGCACGGCAAGTGAGGACCGCATGCCGTGCCGGGGCCTGTCACCATGGGCTGGGCCCAGCCGGGCTGGGCCCCAGGTCTGGCTCCTGCCTCTGCCCCACTGTGCCTGTGGGGGTGGGGGGGGTGAGGACCTGGCCCAGCCCCATGTGGCTCTGTAGTCCAGCTTTGCACCAGAGTGGATCACATGGCTCCAGGAGGCGCAGCTCCCATGCGGGCCTCTCAGAGCTGTGCAACCTGCTTTGGTGCAAAACTGGACTAGTTATCCAGAGTGATCTGGGCTAGGTCCTCACCCCCTGCAGCCCCAGGGACATGCCCCCCACCACTCCCCCCCATATCCCCTTGCCACCCCTCACCCACCCACACCCAGGAACCCTCCCCCGCTTACCTGGGACAGTGCCAGGGCCCGGGGGCAGCAGGAGCACCAAAGAGATGCTCTGACCAAAATCAGAGTGTCTTATTTGGAAGACTGATTCCCTACTGGCTCCGAGCATGGTCTCAAACCATGCCTTGCTCTGCTCTATTGTGGAGCAGGTTTTTTAGACCACAGTATACCCAGGGGTCTAATCTCCCCGCGCTGCAAACTTGCAGTGTGGGGAACATTTTTTCATTCCTGCATGTGCCTTTTGCCCCACCTCAAAGGGGTTTGAGGTGGGGCAAGAGGCACATGCACGCTCATCTGGATGTGCCTTCTGCGTCTATCTCTGTGATATAAAAATAAATTCTGTTATAAAGTATATTTAGCATATGTAGTTGTTTAATTACCAAAGGCTGGGATTCATCATGGTTTTGATCCTCAATCTCCCTGTGCAAGCTGGGCAGTTTGGTTTACTCTAGTATTTTTCAGAGTTTAAAGACATCTGGTTTCAAAGTATTACTAAAGAAAAGGGGTTGATTTTTGTCTACATCTTAAGTAGAAGTAATAGGCAACTAATATATTATCCAGCCTACCTCAAAAGGGTCTCTCCCTATATAGAAGAACAATTTTTTGAAACTCTGTCCTCGTCGGGTTATTAATTAGCTGATAAAAGGTATGTAACTTTAAGTTCACTTCCTACCAGAATCAGATACTATCTCAAGTAGCTCCCAAACTACTGTAAGTTATATTTGTAGATATCACTGTTACAGTATTATGAAATAATTGTTATATAAGGCCATACAAGTTACAGTAATATTCTTTACAGTGTGATAAGAAATAGCACTGAATAATTGAAGGACTTCAAAATCCACATTTTGGGCAAGTGACAAAGATAGTATTCCTTTGGTAATTATTATGGCTGGTTTTTAAAGCTGCTGTGTGAAACTGAGATGTAAAAATGATAATCAGTGTAAATCAAAGAAAGTTGCAAAGCAAAAATATAAAGGGCTTCCATGGTGCTACAGTATACTAATTTACACTAGCTGATGAGCTTGTCTATTGTCTTTAAGTAGTAATTGGACACCTCTTGGCTTCTAATTCTATCATAAGACAGAATCTCTCTGGAGTGGACAGGTTTCAGAAAATTTGTTTATTTACCTTGGAGAAGAGGGGTTGCTTGAAGTCTTTAATATTTGGAAGTGTATAGCTTGAACCATTACAGGTTTCCCTCACTTTATGCTGTACATGTGTTCCTGGAAAACAGCACATAACTCAAATTCGCATACAGGAAACCCACTTTACAATGTAACGAATAGGGCTATGTTCCAAGACCTCAACTGTACTGACCCCCAGACCCATTTCTACCACTTTTATAAGACAATTTTGCTACTCCCCAACAGCAAACAGTACACACAAGCACAGGGCACTATCATAATGGGGATGGCAGCTACAGGAACATGTCTTGCAGACAACAAGTGAGGAGCACAGATCCACGCAGGAGACTATTTTGGTGCACGTCACTCCCACAATCCACGGCACAAAGCAGCTGACTGAGGGCTTCCACCACACCAATTGCATAAGAGTGAAATTACCTCACATATAACAATTTTTTGGTATAAGAAGGGTCATTGCATAAGAGCAAATTTGCACATACAGAACTTGCATAAAGCGAGGGAAACCTGTACTTCCCTCTACAGTGATGACTGGGTCCAAAGTTGTCTCAATTATGAAGATGAGATATGGTTGATGCTGGATTCAAAGGATTCCAAATAATGAGTTTATTACAACTCTAATCTCTGTTTGCTGAAACAAGGAGAGATCAGTTTGTGCATGCTCTAGAATAGTCTTTGGTTTTAGAGCTGAGAGCCTTTCAGCTTTGGTTTCATTTTGTCTCTTCTTCATCTGAAGCTGAGAGACTTCCTTCTGACTTGAAAGCTGGACAATCCTTCTCTATCAGTTATCTACTGTGAAATAAGTATATACGTGTTCCACCTCTGATCTATGGTAAAATGCTCCTTTAACAATACAAAGTTTGTGAGTACCTATGGTAGGACAGAAAGCTGGAAACCTTGGCTTCCTTGAGACTATGTACAAAAGTCAAGCTTTGAAGCAGATAATACTGTACATATCCCAAGGGCTTAGATAGTTTGCAAGTTCTAGAAAATCTCTGAGAGACATTACATATTAGTGTATATAATAGTGCAACTAATATTAGTATAATAAGCTGTTCTTAAAGATAGTGTAATAGATTTTGTAGTTTTCCTGGTGATCATTGTTGTTTACTGTTATATTGTTTAATAAAACATTATAGTTTGTTGCAGTTAAAACTCATTTGTGAGGAGTTGTTCACTAATTTTGATTTAGTGTCCTCACAGAACAATCCAGGTCTCGAGATGATAGATGCTGGAGGCCTGGATTGCACTCATTAGCTTTCACTCTCCTCCTCTTACTTCGCTGGTGGGGCATATTTGCTCAAATTGTTATTGCCTCTCATTATCTCTTGTTTAATCATTATTTCCAGTCAACAGTGGGACACTGAATACACAAGACGCTGCAGGCACTTTAATTAGAGTGCCCACCCCCAGACCATGTGTAAAGATGCCCACAGTTTCTTCTTCCTACCCATATGTGGTTTGAGTCTCTGTGAGATCTGTAGTGTAATCTTTAAACCTTTGTGTACTTTTTGCACTTCAGGAGCTAGGAGAGATCATTATAATATATGCCGAACTCTTAGTCATTGTGTACAGTGTGTATGTATGACAGTATCCATATCTTGTTTCCATGTTGAATATATACTTTTATTAACAAGCAAAGGTTGTGTAAATAAATAAAAACAAAGACTTTTGGAACTATGTGAATGCCTAAATCCTGTGTTATTCTGGAGGTCAGATTAGATGTTCACAACAGTCCTTTCTAGCCTTAATATAAATTAATCATAGAAAAAGGGCCTCAAGAGACCAGGCAGTCCAACCCATTGCTCATGTTAGAATTCTCTCTGTCTAAAGCATCCTAAAGAAATGTTTGCTTTCCTGGACTTAAAGAACTTCAATGATGGACCTCTCTAAGTAATCTGTTCCAGTACTTAATCACCCTCAACATTTGAAAGTTCCCTCATCCAAATTTCTGTTGGTATTATTATGTGATCACTCTCATCTTTGTAAGAAATATTTTTATCATATCCTCCTCAGTCTTCTCTTCTCTACACTAAATATAATTCCAGTGCTTCCAATCTTTTATCATGTCATTTTTTAGACCTCTTATAATTTTTTTTGCTTAATCTGAACTCTCTGCAATTTATCCACATCTTTTTTGAAGTATTGTGTCCTAAATTGGATACAGTGCTGCAGGTGAGGACTCTCTAGGGCTGAATACAGTGGAAAACTAATTTCCAGTGACTTGTGTATGGCATTCCTATTAATAAATTCCAGCATGTCATTCCGACTATATTCTATTGCTGATTTATATTCAGATGGTGACCCACTGCACTCTATGGAATTAATTCCTTTTGATCTTTTCCATCCTTATGTTTTACCTTTAAATAAGCGATTAATTCCTGCCCTTGTATGAAAAAAAAAATATATTGATGCTGAAATACCTCAGTAGGTACACTGAAAACAAATTTTCCATTCTGAGCTGATCTGCAGCCTGTTTCAGTTGGTTGCTGTCAAACCCCCTACACCTAGGGGTGTAGGATTTGAATGTATTGCTTAAGTAGAATGTACAAACTCCTTCATGGGCAAAGTCAGATACGTAAAAATTGCCAGAAAATTAAATTAAAAAAAAAAAAAAGTTTGAAATGTCTCAAAAACAGTTAGAGGTACAGGGTTGAACCTAGCCTTTAGGAACATTGCTCCTTATAGGGAAGGGTCTCTTGGTCTTTGCATTTTAAAAATCTATTAATGACCTGCATTAGTGGTTGTTGGGAAACTTGACAAGATGGGAATTGACTACTTCAGTGTTTTCTTTATTTACAGTGCTTTTGCTGAGCAATTAAGAAAGAAACAGGAAACTTTGCTTTAACATAGCTAATTCTCCTTTTGGCCAGATACCACATTTTCTGTTTAAGTTTAGAGAACAATTTAAAACTATTTTCTTAGAGCCTCAGCTGGCATAAATTGTCACAGTTCCACTGAAGTCAATAGAAATGTTCCAGTTGACATGAGCTGACACTTGTCTATTGCAACCCAAGCCCCACACACAATTTGTGTTTTTATCTTTTCAGCCATGGGCTTTCTACAGGCCTATCAGGTTCATTTTGGTCAATCCAGAAGGATTGTAAATATTGCCTTTTTTTGTTAGCTCTGTTTGCATGGATTTTATCAATGCTGCCAGATTGGTCACTGGCTGCATGAAAATAAGAAAGAACTAGTACATAATGCAGCTGTACTGGTAACTTCAATGACTTGTTTTATAATCACAGGGCATTTTCTATAGCTGTTGTGAAAGAAATCAAACTTCGCATTGTGGTTGTATCAGAATTAACAGAGCCATCTTGGTTTATTTAGAGCTATACAAGTGATCACGAGGAGGGTTCTTAAAGGAACTCTGAACTGTATAAGTTTACAAGCATATTTATACTTTAGACAGTGAGAAAAGATGCATGGTTCAGACAGCGCAACCTTGAAGAAACAGGAAGAAGTTGATCATTCGTTTGTCACACATAGGCAGTTTAATTATTTAGCAAACACATTGTGTTTTGGGAACAGCTATCAGTTTCTGGTTCCCAGAAAGGGGGAAGTTAACATCTGCACGCAGAGATTAATATATTAAGACAAAACAAGGCATGAAGGTTTTTCCTTATCCTAGAACATGTTAAAACACATAGCATCAGCAACTTTTTCTCTTCTCTTTCTCTCTCTTTGTCTCTCCTCTTAGTCAAGTAAGAGACCTGGTTAAACTTATTTCTACATTCCCAGCTTTTGGGCCGTTTTTTGGCCCAACCTGTTATATATTTATAGCCATGAGCCTTTTAACTTCTAATTTTTCTCTCTCTTTACCTTCCGCTATTTTAACATACATATCACAAAAGTTGGTCCAATTAAGGGATAAAGCAATCATGGGCACCCCTGACCTTGTACTAGGAGGCAAGTGGGAACATACCCAACTTTTAGAAACATTTAAATCCTTTGCATATTGATAAGACACTTGAAAAAAAGTGTTTTGGTGAGCATGGCAGTGTGGGAGTGATCTTTTTTACTTGTTTTGAAGTCTAGTCTGATTTACAAAGTTTCTTTTAGCTGGTGAATCTTTAAGTTCATATAAGATGATCCAAAAGGAAAGACTGAGAAGTACCCAAGTTACGACTAACCAACCCCACCTCGGGAATGAGGAACTAGGTAGAAGCCTTTTTTCCTTTCCTGAAGGGCATAACGGTGTCGTTGGGGTACATTTTCTTCACTCTGTAGTGGCCAATCCTCTTCGCCAGTAGGCACTTGTCTTACCAGTGGTCTTGAGCTCTCCTTTTGGCAGGCGCTAGGCTCACTACCAGTCTGTGGAGGCTGATTACAAGGTTGATGTGGAGGAGACTATGGGTCTAACAGGGGTGATGTTTTCTTACTGTTTGAAGTGTGGATCCACGTTTGGAGTCCTTGACACTTTATTGCAGTGTTGGTTGTCAGGAGTACCTGGAATGAGCCTTTCCAGCGGGGTTCCAGTGATGACTTCCATTGATGGACTTTTACATGGACCCAGTCACCAGGCAGGATGGAATGCCATGGCTCATCTGGTTTCTTGGGGAGAGCTGCTTGTACCTGTGAATGAAAAGCCTTAACACACTTCATTAGCGCCATACAGTAGTCTAAAATAGTATCATCAAGTAAATGTATATCACAAAAGTGGGAGGCAAGAGGTGGTGAGGCTGTTTCACAGGCTTTCCCACATTATGGGCTTGACAAATAGGGCAGGTATAACAATATTGTTGAGCCACAGATGGAAAAGTTGGAGCAAACCAATCAAGCTTAACAGCTTCTATCATCCCCCCTTTGCTCACGTGTGCTATGCCGTGGTGTATGTGAGCAAGATAGGGAAGAAGGACCGTTGGGGCAATCAGGTGGCTGTCCGGGAAGTGCCACAAATGGTCAGGGTGTAACAAACACCCAGCCAGTTTCCACATATATTTTTCTGGTTCTGAAGCCTGATCTTGGAGGAGGGCAATGTCGTGAAGACTTGCCAATGGAGACTGGTTAGTCGAGATAGAGAAAAAACACAGGTGTAGCCTGAGGAGTGGAAATAGCCGCAGCTTTGGCAGAGGAGTCTGCCAGAGCATTCCCATGTGTAACATCACAAGGTTTCTGGTGAGCTTAGCATTTCATAATAGCAACAGCAGAAGGTAACTCTAAAGCATTTAACAAGGCATTCACATATGGACCATTACTAATTTTGGCACCTCCTGATGTGAGGAAGACTCTTTGCTTCTAAAGTTGACCATAATAGTGTACAATACCAAAGGTGTAGTGAGAATCAGTGTAAATATTAAACAGAGGTACCAGAGGCTAGGGTGCAAGCCCTGGTAAGGTCCACAAGCTCGGCAACTTGAGCTGAATACACATTAGGCAAGTGATGGCTTTTTGTAACATCATATTGCGAACATACCGCATATCCTGCAACAAGAGAACCTTTTGAGTTTCTTTCACATGACCCATCAACATAAAATACTAGATTTGGGTTTTGCAAGGGGATGTCCTTTAGATCAGTACAGGGCATTATTAGGTGGGCAGTAACAGCAATACAATCGTAGGGTTCACCATCTGAAGGAGTAGGCAACAGGGAGGCAGGGTTTAAAACAGGGAATCTAGATAGAGTAATATTTCCAGCAGAAAGAAGCAAAATTTCATACTTAGTCAATCTAGCATATGAAAGGTGTTGAGTTTAAGTTTTTAGTAAAAGGGCTGCTACAGCATGTGGGACAGCAATAGTAAGGGAAGAGCCTAATACCAGGTTAGAGGACAGTTCAACAGTAATAGCAGCTGTGGCTAGAGCACAAAGACATGGAGGAAGTCCGGCTGCAAGTGGGTCAAGAGCAGATCTTTAATAAGCAATGGGACTGTGCTTGTCTCCATGTGGTTGACTGAGCACAGTAAGTGCAAATCCATCTTTTTCATGACAAAAAAGAATAAAGGGTTTAATATAATTGGGAAGGCCTAGGGCAGGAGCTTGCGACAGAACTTGTTTAATAGAGGCAAAAGCAGCTTCGGCTTCTGAAGTCCAGGGCAAAGGCTCTGGGGTATTAACAAATGTCAGGTTATGCAGTGGCTTGACTACAGGCATAGCCAAGTATCCACTGGCGGCCGGAGCCCAGGATGCCCAG